TGACTAACCTCAGAAGCTGACTCATCATTTGGAGCTGATGGGTGAGGGAGAGAATTGGGGGAGAGAATTGGGGGCGAATTGGGGCACAAAAGGGAGAGAATTGGGGAGGAATTGGGGGGCAGCACATTTTATAAGTGCCAAGATCGGAAGTTGGAACTTACTTGGATTTTATGGAGGTTAAGTTGGAAACTTACTTCGATTTTATGGAAGTTAAGTTGGAACTTACTTGGAAGTTGACACTGGAGAGAAGACTGAAGATTTGTCGGAGCGTGGTTTAAACTTGGAACAAACTCTGTTTTCCTTTTTTTTTTTGTAATAATATAATTTTTTATCCTTTTTTGTCAAACGACACACGGAGGTTGGGACAGGGAAGCGGGTTGGAAACGCCAACTCCTTTTTTTTTTTTTTTGTAATAATATAATTTTATCATTTTTTCTCAAAAAGAAGGAAAAAGAAATGTAATAACTTCCATTTTCATTTCACTATTAATAACATGTTTGGATTGAGGGGAAGGGAAAAATTTTTTACTAAACAAATTGCAATATTTAAAAAACATTACAATTGGATTTATCAAAAAACCTGTGTAAGATAATTAGATAAATAAGTAACATTCATCACCTTACCATGTTCAAGCTTCTGATAAATCAACTGTGTAATTTGCGAGTGATACCTAAGATTTTTACTGACAATATAAACTTTGCATTGGTCTTTCTTTGCTTTTTTTTCTCTAGCCATTTAAGATATTCCTTAACAGTGGGCTGCTGGTTTCTTTTCTGCCTATCGCTTAGATAATATATCAGCATGCTTACAATTTGTTCCTGTTGGTTGTTGCAGGTCAATGTCTAAATTTAACTTATCCATGGCCAAGTAATGAATTAAGAATACTCGCTATTTATTTCCCTTGGCAAGTGATGTTCATGGTCAATTTTGAGATCTTCTACGCCTGTTTGAGTATGGTGGGTACCCACCAGAAGCCAATTCTTTAGTCCTAGGGGACTATGTTGATCAGGGTAAGCAGAGCATAGAAACCATATGCCTTCTTCTCGTGTACAAAATCAAATACAAAGAGAACTTCTTTCTTCTCAGAGGCAATCATGAATGTGCTTCAATCAGCCGTATTTATGGGTTCCATGATGAGTGCAAGAGAAGGTTCAATGTTCGTCTCTGGAGGACATTTACTGACTGCTTTAATTGTCTGCCTGTTGCTCCTCTAATTGATGAAAAGATCTTTTGCATGCATGGTGGGCTATCTCCTCATTTGGACAACTTGGATCAAATCCGCCATATTGCTCGCCCCGTCGATATACCAGATCATGGTCTTCTTTGTGATCTCTTGTGGGCTGATCCTTATAAAAATGTTAAAGACTGGGGAGACAGTGATAGGGGTCTCTCATGTACATTTGGGGCAGACATGGTTGCCGAGTTTCTTCAGAAACATGACCTTGATCTCGTCTGCAGAGCTCATCAGGTAATGAAATTCAGATTGAGATTGACCTTCCTATAGCTGGCTTTGGC